ATCTAACCAGTGGTGGTAGATGAATTGGGGAGGTGGGTGGAAGTACTTCCTGAAGTTATAGAGGTAGTATTCTTAGAATTATTGACAATGATAACTATTGTTTGATAATTCCTGTGAATCCTCTACCTCTATTACATCATAGCCAGAATATACCAGAGGGATAAGGCGGGATCTGCCTCAAGTAACTCCCTGTGTAGTTGACAGCAATACAATACTGTTGTATGAGTTCTTGTATATTACCGGATCCAAACCCTCTCAGGAGGTAATTACTCTAGAATCTCTCTTAGAGAACATGAAATCGGGTATTATGATGATATCAGTCTATATGAGATACCTTCACCTGAAGTACCTCATTATTTGCTGATAATCATGAAATGATGTCTTTAGTTCTATTCTAACTCATCATTTATCTCCGATAATTAGATTGACGTCACTTCCAGTTTATCAACTTCCGGAAAAAAATAAGTGCTGATAATACCACAAATAGATTCTACTTGGGGAAGATACGAGGGGTCCTAATATTTTCTAGTAGAAAGGATTTCATTAATCTGTTGAGAGTGGGATGGTTTTCGATAGTTAATCCATCATGTTGAAGTACAGAATGAAGGGCTGATCTGTAACCTTCTATCGTCACGTGTCTGAATTTATTGTCTTGACGTAGATGAAGAAGGAATCAATCCCTATCATAGGGATTGATGCAGCATTATCAATAATCCCTAGTCACCTTCTCCACTGGACAAACGTGTCCTATCTGTTGTCATATAAAAGGGAGGATGATGGTCGCCACGATATTGCCACAGATTCCGAGGCAAGCTCAGAGTAACCGGATGTTTGCATCTTTTGAGCGATAACTTCCAGGCGGTTTCATGTAGGCTGGGCAGATTTTGCATGGAATATGCTGGACCTGGGCTGTCGTAGCAGATCTCGATGAAGTGGTAACTGTATGGGTTCCTCCATTAGAAGCTTTAATAGTCTGGGGAACCATGCCCTGCTGGGCCATACTGGGGCTGCCAGTATTATTACGCAATCCGTCTCCTACACCTTGTGGATGACTTTGTCTAGGAGAGACCATTGTGGGAATGCATAGCCGAATAGATTCGTCCAATCCATCGACAGAGCGTCGATCTGGTGAGCTCTTGGGTTGGGAACTGAACTGACATAAACTGTGAGTTGGTTGTTCTGACAGGTCGCAAATAGATCTATGTGTGGCACGTCCCATATCTTGGTTATCCAGATGAAAATCTGTAGATGTAATGTCCATTCTGTTGCCACTATTCTCCCCCGACGTGAGAGGCTGTCGGCCAGTACGTTCAGTTTCACAGGTATTGCGGGGCTGTTGTATGTAGACGCTAAAGACTATTTATCCCGCTGTGACTCCACCTAAGCGCCTGTTTTTTCATCGATATGTGGTTGATTTTGAGTTACAATATGTGGCTGTTGTTCAAGTACTTCTGTGTTTGGTTTAATTACAGTCAATGACTGTGGCTTGACTATTCCTGTTTTGCTTGTGTTTGCTTGCGTTATTAATGCAGTGTTAAGATCTGTATTGATATCAAGTGTTTGTTTGTTGGTAGCAATTACAATTTTATTATTATAACCAACAACTTGGCCAATCTTGAGTTCCATGTTACTCGGTGACATGTACAGGCGTATTTCAAAAACATAGTCTACTGACAGTCTGCTGAATTTAAAAAGAAAAATAACCCAAACACCATGATTCCAATCCAAATTGGGTCTTTTCCCTTAAATCTAGTATTTATAGGGAACCTAATTCTTCCAAACAAAACAATTCTAGTTGTTTTGACCAACATTAGCTGCACATTGTTCTGAAGATCTCCTCAAAAGGCTCGTTTTCGGAATAATGCCAAGGACATATGTAAATATGTCAATTAAATTACCATGATATCACATCCATTTCCTCAACTGTGACATCATCAATCAATCCTTGGCGGCTTTGGACCCACATGACCTACCAGACCGTAACGCCCATGACATATTACTTCTGGTTCTGAAGACGTCATTACAAGTTATGACATTAACTCCAGTGGCCTTGCTAAACTGGAATGGAATTTATTGGCTTGATTGTAGTGAAACTAATGGCTACTATGAGTTATGTCCCTTCTATGTCCTTCCTATTGACCAATCAGGTTCTACCTCTCATATCAATAGCATTTGCTTCAAACAAAATGGCGGCATCCAGTCAAAACAATCTGATCAATAATCAAGATCTTTATTGTTATAAAATTGGTCTTTAATTGAAAACATGCAATGATTTGGAAAGTACTTGTCAATACGCATGAATTTTGCAATCCTGCAATCAACCAAAATCTTCTCAGCAGTCACCAAGGTTTTTTTTAACTGAATGTCGATTTCGTTATGTGATTTTGATTGTACTATACATAGACTCACTAGTCCAGCCAAAATATAACTCCATAATTTCAGCAAATGTGAAAAATGGACATTTATAGTCAGTTAACTTCCTTGCCATGGGGCGAGCCTATGACCTCTCCTACACCTAGTAGACAATATGGTTCAAAAGGTTAACCTACCTTCCCACACTGTGGCTGCTTGAAACTTATTGTGGGAGTGTCACTAGCAACTTAAAGGGGCACTGATCTAACGCAATCCCCAGGGACTGGTTGTTGCCTTTGTTATTTTTTTTTCCCAGTGAGTACCCGGATGTATAGCAGAAATCTAGACTAGTTCGCGACCTCTGCTGCGCCATTCGTAAGCGCATTAGTCGCTTTTATGGAAACCGGTTAGAATAAGGGCGTATGGTCACATTGATCAACAAAATGAAATACAGTTTTCGAGATAATAAGGAAATGTAGGTATCTTTGTGGGTAGCATCGGTAATTGTGACGAAGTTTTGATAAGTCACTTGCTTGGTAATTTTGCGATTTTCGTTTACACTATTTTGACTTGCAACACAAAGTAAATATTTCACCTGAGCATTGCTTTTTTTTATAGTGTGTATATTTTTTTACTGCCAAAATGTGTAACATATTTATTAAACGTATAAATATTCAGTTATTTTACAAAGTGACTGAAAAACATTTCCATCTGTATTATTATGATAACGAATTCCAAACATTTTTATGTTTAATGTCATCACCAAGAGACTGAAAATATTACGTTGAAAAGTACATTTCTATATTGTTTGGCTTCTAATCCTACATAATAATCTGTTGTGATGTTTGTAGGCCCTTTTGATCATCTTAATCAATCTGGACAGATTTTTTAGTCAAAATGACTGAAATATTTACACATTTTATAAATTGCCTGAGAGAATCACATTTTACAAATTGACGGTAATATATACACGCTTACAAAGGAAAAGACCTGTGAAACAACGTCTATCGCGCATTGAAGAATTTCCAACCAAGACGTAGAGAAACAAGAACGAATCGGTTCAAATGAAGGAAAACAAAATGCAAATACCATAATTACAACCTACCAAATTTATGTGTATAAATTTTAGGCAGCTTCCTTGTTCGAGGAATGTATCCGTGAATATCCACACAAAGGAACAATATCCCACTCGTCTGAAGCTATACAAAGAAACTTATTCGATGTCACGTGTCTCTGTAACAATCAAATATTTTAAAAGATATATATCGTTTCGGGATATTATAACCCGTGTTCGTTTCTCAACTGATCACTTGGATTGTTTCAGGTGTTTCACATAGGTGTCAAGCCTCAAGGGTCGGCTGAGAAAGCCCACGTGACAACTATTTTCATAACGTCCACCGTTCCTAAAAAATCCATTGAGTGATAGATAACAATGATCAATCAATCAACGTATTATCAGTTAACCCTTTGAACAAAGTATGTTGTTTTTACATCGGCACTTCACGCCATGATATGAGTGTATTCCCTTTGTTTTAGTAAACCTAGACATGTAAACACTCACTCTTGACATATCCACTGTGCAAGATAACAGTGATTAATCAATCAACGTATTTTCTGTTAATCCTTTGATGACTAGGAACGATCCGTTGATTTACAAAAAAAGTAAATCAACTGATCAGTCATCTCTTGCTGGGCTGCCACGTGCATATTACATAACACACATTTCACCTCACTTCAAACCTGGATTTAGATTGAATAATTACCCCAGACACAATAAATGCCAAATGGGAACCTTTGTCAGGTAATCTATGTGGTGCTACCATTAATTGTACCTGTAATAAATTCATTAACTGAGCATCAAGTGAATGACGACAAATACACAAGTGTAGGGTTATACGAGAAAACGTGGATGACAAGGGAGTAGAAATCGTATTATTGACGCAATCCGAAATCCGAAAATGCTTTCACTGCATGAATACTTTTTTAGTATTAAACTATAACCATCTAGGGTATTTCCAAATGACGACATCCGATGAGCTCTGCTGTTCTTTTTGTCTGTTTGTTTAGGCTGAAGAAATGAATTAACATGCGCCCTTTGTCGAAATCTTTATAGATCACAGTTAACCAATCAGTGTTTATGCAAAAATGCGTAAAACAAATATTGCCTCCAGCCTCCAAGTTTATTTAGCTGTCCTTGCAGACGGTAGCCCAGTCTCTGGTCACGCTCAGTCGCGTTGCGTATCATCCGGGTACTCACGGGGAAAAAAACAATAACAAAGGCAACAACCAGTCCGGGGAATTGCGTTAGATCAGTGCCCCTTTAAGACGATTTGGGTTTTTTCCAAGAAGCGAGACTGGTAGACAATGCCCTGATTTTATGAGCAGTGAAAGAAGCGAACATGGGAGTTGCCAATTGGGCATGCTGGTGACTATCTGTCAGAAATGTCAAAAGCATGAGGTTCAGAAACTTATCAAACCATTCTCTCACACGGGACCATGCATACATAACATTTGGTTAAAATCCTTTGATATATGTTAGAAAATCAAACTACTTTCATAGATCTACAGGTTTAAATACTGCTTTCATTTGGTCATGTAGCCAACAAACAAGTCCTGTTACCTTCAGAATGTGGCAAGTTTGAACCTACCTCTTCGGATCTGAAAGCCTGTTTGAGGTGTGTGTACTTGAGGAAGCGAGAGATGGGCAGAACATTTGAGCCAGTATACATGAGTATGAAGAAGAAGACACCAGTGAGGTAAAGTCTTGAGATGTTTGGGTTGTCCTGCATGATCTCAAACAGAAGTGTTGCCACCTTCTCCACCAACACAGGGTCAAATGTCAAAAGGAGCTGTAATACAAATAAAACATCTTCAAAAACCAGGAAGCACCTGTAAAATGCATCCATTTCAAAAAGACAAAATAGAAGCAAGCTGATATACATGATATAGACTAGTTACACTCATGCAAAACCAGCAGCTCTTCTTTGCACTCAGGAGGAAGGCAGTTACAACTTGCCCCTAGAAAACCTTTTGAACAGATTCGGATCAACAACAAAAACTTTTACAAACCTGTAGAAGTTATGAATTCTCTGATGAAATCCTCCTTGGGGCACTTATTGCATTTTCCAGGCTACAGAAAATCTACATGACATGTTGTAACTATTTTGTTCCTAATAAAATATTACCACACTAAAAAACAACGTTTTTTTGTGTATGATGTACGACCACCCAAACAGGGCCTCTCCCTACTTTGGCGCCAAATGCCATGGGAAGCAACTCACACCCAATTCACTTTCCATATGTCTTCTTGCAGACGGTATGTTGGGCGGTGGGTGGCCGTGCCCCAAGGAGGATTTCATCAGAGAATTCATAACCTCTACAGGTTTGTAAAATTCTCTTTCTGATTAAATCCTCCTTGGGGCACTTATTGTATAAAGACAGACTCCCAAAGATTACTTAGGTAGCGGCATCCGTCTGCAACAAGCGTAAATAACACATGGTTTTAATAAGAGAGTTCCTTTATTTTTTTTAAAACCAACCTTATCGTATAGCTCCACCGTTGAGAGGCGGGGGCTGAAGACAGGGCGTGGTCGTAACCAAAGTTGATAATTATACTTTAGTAAATATTGAGAACTCAAATACACACCCCCCCTTTTTTTTCACCGTATAGGAGTGAATTTTACGGGGACTTCGAAAACTATAGAGAATCCCTAAGTCAGACTAGAGGGTCCCCGTAGTATCGAACGAGTGCTTTTAGAAACGAGTGTAGATCGTTGAAAGATGACGTAATAGATGGCCAGTTTAGTATAAAAACAGGCGTCGTTGAGTCAAAATAATATATGACTGAGAACTTTACCATCACGAAGGCTCAATCGGCTAGAGACGTAGAGTTCCTTCCAGTGCGGAGTTTGTCGAGTTGGTAATGCTTGATGAACGTGCTCGGACGGCTCCAAATAGCCGCTGAGCAGATCTCCTCAATGCGCAGAGCCGCGGCGTACGCTTTAGATGTAGCTACTGCTCTAACCGAATGAGCCTTCAACCCCTCCGGGGGGTCCCTCCCTTTGTGTTTATAAGCCATACAAATAGTGGAGACAATCCACCGCGAGATAGACTGTTTGCTCGCAGGGGAGCCAGCCTTCCCACCGCCGTAACAGCAGAATAATTGATTATCCTTACGGATACCCATAGTTCTGCTGATATAGACCTTAAGAATCTTGCGGACATCCAAGACATGAGCATGTCTTGCAGAGGTCCCCGACGAGGAAGGCTGTAAAAGAGTAGGTAGCTCGATAGGAGCCGTCACTTGGAAACGTGTGCCACCTTGGGACGGTAAGAATCCGGTAGGCGAATACTGACTCTGTCCCGGTGAAAGATGGTCAGCTCAGGATCGGCGGACATTGCGTGAATGTCGCCTACCCATCTACCTGACGTCACCGCCACAAGGAACGCCGCCTTCCAGCTCAACAGCTGAAGGGAGAGAGACGATAGATCCCGAAAGGAAGGACAGGACAGCCAATCAAGAATGATTGACAAGTCCCAAGGGGGGCTGATCCGCCGGACAGTCGGTCGGATCCTGTCCACACCTGCTAGAAAACGCTGCACTAAAGGGTGCGCACCCAGAAGTGCCCCGTCGATAGGTACATGAAAAGCTGCAATAGCCGTGGAGTACCCCCTTACTGTCGATGCGGCCAATCCGTCGTCTAGTCGTGACTGGAGGAACTCCAGGACAGCTACTAGATCCGCAGAAAAGGGATCTGGAACCCCCCTATCGACACACAATCGTGCATAGCAGGCCCATCTATCCTCATACTGAACGTTTGTCGAATCCCTCCGCGAAGCCAGTATTGTGTCTGCAACTCGTGCAGAAATAGCACTCTTCTGGAGGCGATTCCTGACAGTGGCCAAGCCTACCACTGAATCCAGGGATTCGGGTGGAGGGCCCCGTTCTGGGATAGTAGGTCCGGTCGTAAAGGTAATAGAACAGGAGGCTGAGCCAGAAACCTGAGAATTACGGGAAACCAACTCTGCGCCGACCAAAGAGGTGCAAGTAGCACAAGTAGTCGCGCAGGCTGAGTGGCTAGCTGAGACAGGATCCTGGAAACCAGAGGAACTGGTGGGAAGGCCCACAGAACTAATCTAGCTGGAAGGCGTCCGGTGCCACCGACCTCGGGTCGGGGACTCAGGAGCAGAACATTGGTATCTGGTAATTCGCTCCAGATGCAAACAGATCCACCTGGAATGACCCGTACAACAGGGAGATAACTCCGAATATCCCCGGGTCGAGCCTCCACTCGTGAGGAGCGAGGATCCGGTGAGACAGAGCGTCCGCGCGGACGTTGTCTACCCCCGGGAGATAAACAGGTATCACCCTGATGTCGTGGGTATCGCACCACAGGAGGAACTGTCACATCTCTTGGAGGAGTGACGTAGACACCGTTCCCCCCTGCTTCCTGATGTAAGTCATCGCCGTTTGGTTTTCCATCTCTAGACAAACCACATGGCTCCGAAGCATATCCTGGAAGCGTTGGAACACCTGCAGGGGTCTCCGTGCCTTCCTCTCCCTCCTCCATCGACTCCTCATCCCTAGTCTCCGAGCCGAAGGTTAACTCCGAATCCTCAACCCGGGAGGAAGTAGACGGTATCGGTAGCGGACACTCAAAGGCCTGCGACCTCTGATCTCCCGGCTGTCCCCGGCCCGAAGCCGAATCCCGGTCCCGAGGTGCTGGGGGTTAGGAAGAACCCACCTGACCACTGGGCGTGGAACCACAGGTCGAAGCCTCGGCCCCCGAGAAGGCTTCCGGCTCCACCTGGGAAACAGGCACGGAGGAAGTGAACGGGCCGGCGCCCGCCACCCCTCCGCTGGAGAGCGATCTCGATCCCGAGCCTAAGCCCGGTCTCGAGTCATCCCCAAGACCAAGCCGCCTGCCACGGCCGACGCCGGGCATTCCACAAGGCCCCGAGGCCGCTTCTGACACCCGATTTTCAGGAAGCCCTGCCCGTAACTCCTTGCGGAGCTGGGACTTGACCTCCTCGAAAACATGGATGTCATCTGCGACCTCAAGATGGCAGAAATATCCGCCAGATTAACAGAAGGTGCAGGTGTAGGTGACTGTTCTACGGGAACCCTACTAGACTGAAACCCCGACTTCTTAGGCTCCCCCGAGGAAGAAGACGCTGGACCTTTACCCTTATTTCCCCTACCCTTACCCCCTTTACTTTTGGAAGGGGGGGGGGACTGACTTACCCCTTATGTCTGCCCCTGCCTCAAGAAGTCTCTTGTAGTGCAAAAGATCAGCATGGCGATTCTTGGACGCCTTGGGGGTGAAGCTGAGACAGACGGGGCAAGTTTGGTCATCGTGACCTAGTTCCGCTAGGCAGCGAATACACTTGTCATGATTGTCCTGAGTGGGGATACTGGCCTCACAGCCGGAACACAATTTGAAGGCCTGTAAGAGACCGTAATTTATTTGAGCCGGTGTGCATGTATGTTTCATGTATAAGTGCAAGAGATATAACAGAAACAAACATTAATGTGCCGTGCAAAGGCGTAATGTAATATACGATATAATATATATACATTATAAAGGAGCTAGTATTTAAAAAACAAGCTTCTGACGTCCGATATACGGAGAAAGCCTGAGTTAATTTATTGAGAAGTTAAGGGTCTCCTATTAATTTAAAACTTCAGGTTATAATAGGAAATACGTAGTTTACATTGCAATGATAATGAACAACCATGTCGTATTTATAAACGATCATGAGTTAGAGTATCAAAAAACAATGATGACTACCAAGCGGCGGCCATTACTTGAATGGACGTGCCACGTACGCATGGACGCCGAATTTACAACATCAATCTTAAAGGAAATGCGAGGTGTTACGCCTTTGCAAAAGAAAAGGGAATTTACCACACATACAGTTTGTTCAGCCATGTCTTCAACTCTTGTGATCGTTCAATCGATTTGTTGACAGAAGAAAAAATTTTCTGAGCTCTCTCATGTACGTCTTCATTGACGGATGACATATGGAAAGTGAATTGGGTGTGAGTTGCTTCCCTTGGCGTTTGGCGCCAAAGTAGGGAGAGGCCCTGTTTGGGTGGTCGTACATCATACACAAAAAAACGTTGTTTTTTAGTGTGGTAATATTTTATTAGGAACAAAATAGTTACAACATGTCATGTAGATTTTCTGTAGCCTGGAAAATGCAATAAGTGCTCCAAGGAGGGTTTAATCAGAAAGAGAATTTCAAGTTGTACAAGATAGTTCAGGCTTGTCAAGTGACCATGGATTATAATCAATTCCAAGAAACAGGTAATACTGTACCTGTACAATATGTGGGAGACAGGTTGCTTCAGAAAGAATCCTCTTGACTCTTGGAAGTGGACGAACAATAGCACCATCACAATCTCTGGAATAGTAGCAACACTTTATCAGCATGCAGTAAAGTGTCTATCTGCACACGTATGGGATACAGCCCAGTGGAATCTGCAAGAAACTCATCTCACATGATAGATTTTTCATGTACAGTTTACCACTAGAAAAGTGTTTGCAAGTACATCCTGCCATGTCTTCTAATTCCTTGAAATTACCACAATCACATAAAGCATAATCCTCTTGATAATAAATCTCCAACTAGCCGACTCATGACTTAAATGCAGCACTACAAATCTAATGTGGTTTGAAAAAAAGAACATTTAAAATATACAGCTTATGCATCTAACTACCTTAAGTAGAAAACTATACTGAACAACAAAAGTTCCGGTGACATTGAATAAGACTTAATGCTAAGTTATGTTTTTTACCAAATCTGAAACAATTTCAGTTTGCAACAGATAAAAGACTCCTGTGGGTGTTCAAATGGTTTAATTTGCCATCCTGATTTCAGAAAATGTGTGATTTCATAAAAAACATGAACATGCCAAAATGTCAATTTACAAATCAATAGCGTGTGTCCACCTCTGGTTGCGATGCAAGCAACACATCTTTGTCTCATGGAATGGACCAGGCGTCGCACCAAGTCCTGTTGGATATCTGTCCATATCTGCTGGAGCATGTTTCGAAGTTCCTGGAGTGTCTGTGGAACACGTGGTTGACGTCGAAGGTGCTGTTCCATCTCATCCCACATGTGCTCGATTGGTGAGAGATCAGGGGAGCGAGCCGGCCAGAGAATCCTGAACAAGTCGAGCAATATGAGGCCGGGCGTTGTCATGTTGAAAGGTAATTCCTGGGCCATGACAACGCAAAAACGGGAGAACAACAGGGCTGATGATCTCGTCGCGGTAGCGCTGTCCATTGAGATTGAGACCACTATCAAACAGGTCCTCTGTCTTGCTGTAATCCCACCCCATACCATAACGCTGCTGCCCCCGAACCAATCTTCTTCCATGACACAACGATTGACGTAACGTCGGTACACTCGAATCCGTCCATCGCTGTGCTGAGGTGAAAACGAGAGTCGTCAGTGAATAGAACTTGTCCCCACTGCATGTCTGTCCAGCGTAGATGCTGTCTGCACCACTGTAGACGTGCTTGACAGGTGTCAAAATGGGACGTCTGGCAGGCTTTCTGGCGACAATCCCTGCACATCTGAGGCGATGACGTACGGTTTGTGAAGATATTCGTTGAAGGCCAGGGATGCTTCTTTGCAGTCACTGTTGCTGGCTGGAATCAATTTCGTTGGTGTGTTGTTTGAATCCAGTTGCCTTGTCGATATTTGGTTACGCGTGGCCTGCCACTTCGAGGATGGTCTCTGACTGCATTCGTCTGTTGCCAAGACTGCCATAAACATCTGTGGACGTTAAATTGTCTTGCAACATCACGTTGACTCGATCCTGCTTCAAGCTTACAAATGGCTTGCAGACACTCATTTTCGGACAGGCATGGCATTTCGTAATGTTGAATAATTGCGTAATTTTGTTGTTTTTCTGAGTGGTTGTTGTCAGCACGATGCTAAACAATGCATATGGAATCCTGTTAACGCACATGTTTTTATACCCATTCTTGGGTAGTGAAATGCATGGGGCCTGCATAAAAGTTAACTTTTGCATGGAATGCATGCTTTTCTGTAGCAGTTGCGTTTTTGCGACTTGATTCCAAACATGTACTACAATATTGAAAACTAAACTTTACTTGTTTGAAAAATACACTAAAATATTGGTGTAACAGGAATTTTGTTGTTGAGTATATATATATGCATTTCTTTATTTGTTTAAAGCAAAACAATGCTCCAATGCTTGGCCGTCTAGTTGACACGGTATAATCACCATAAGCCAGTTAGCATTAACTACCCCAAAACCCTGTGCTGCGGACCAGTGAGTGAGCACCTCGTTCAAAGTCAATCTTCACATTTGATTGGATGATGCTTACTTAAACCTTTAACCTTACAAATTTGTCTGTGTTTGTAAATGTGTATGTACAATTATGTAGTTATGTACGTCTATGTAATATTTTCGAAACAATGAAGTTCAGTTCATATACTCAAAACAGCAACAGCCCTTATTTTTCAGGCATATTGCATAAAACAATTACTACTCCCTTCATGCATGTTTCATGGTGTAAACCCTACACCTGTGTATTTGTCATACACAGTATGAGAGTATAATTAGACCAAGAACCACTCAGATTACCTGACAAAGACTATGCAAAATAACTCTATAACTATCACACCTGCCTCTGAGGGTGGCAAGAAGAAATAGCAATCAGTAGTTCGCATTTTTCATTTCTCGCGTCTGGGGTAATTATTTAATCTAGGATTGGGTTATAAATCTAGGTCTGATGTAGCGAATGTATTATATTTTAGTATATGTAATATGCATGTGGCAGCGCAGCAATAGAGGAACAGTCAGTTGAGTTGCAAATACATTGATCAAAGGATTAACCGATAATACGTTGATTGACTGATTATTGTAATCTTGCAAAATGGAATTGTCAAAAGTAAGTGTATCCTGGCGTCATCAGTTTTCGCTCGGATAAGACACACGTGCTCATAAAATACAAACTCATTTTAGAACAGTTATAATATGTTACGTATCTGTTGATATGGTCAATGTCATTTTATTCGAATGTTTAATTTGAAAGTCTATGAAGTGAAAGTCCTTATCGATGACTTCCGAAGTTCCGAGCGGGGCCATGACACTTTGTTAACTCTATATGAATGTTGAGGGAACAACATAGATCAACATGAGATCTCTTCCACAGCTGTTCACAGTATCATCTCAATATATCCTTGGTATGTGAAAACCATCTGTGGTATAGTATATATCTTGAAAAGATGGCATATGTCCCTTACTATCATCCAAAATAGTCTCTTATGTTTCCTGTTCTGGCATTACAATGACCCACAATCACAAGCTGCATGTCATCCCTGTCAGTATGAGATGCAAACACATAGCTCTCCAATAGTCCCTCCCCTTCATAGCTCTAGTATCTGTCTTCAGACATCATGTCAGCAAGACAACCATATTTGGTTGGTGCATCTACAGAAATGATACCAAACACGATTGATATAGAAACACATTATTAGTTCTATTGGTCTCATCTCAACATATAAGATAGCTACGCAATAAATCACAAAAAAACATGAAGAACGAAGCATGGTTTATTTCACGATAAAACCTTGTTCTTTCATGACGTCATTTCTAGTGATTCGAACATGAGCTCGCAACGTGATGACATCGTAAATTTGATCGTGTTATTTTTTAGATGGAAGTGTCTAAAGAGTTGTTCCCCATAGATGTTGCTGGGCAACGCAATATGAATGCAGTGGCTGAGTGATTCACATTCAAAAGTAGGAAAGATATGACAATCGTTATTTGGAGAAACAGTACAGATAATATTCGTGAAACTTGTGGGAACATCAGGTAAATACAAACGTAACAACCCTGTTAATAAAATAAACTTGGCCGACATTGCAGAGGAGGAACATACACAAAAGCAATGTAGAACCTGCCAACAAGAAAGGAAATGTATTCAATACTGCGAGATGACATTACATCACACTGTTCTTGAAACTTGTTGAAACATACACAGCAATGCCATGTGTTTTGTCTCCTGGATAGACGTGATATCCTGGCAGGTCTCTTTCATTGTAATCATTGATGTGTGTTTCTGTGAAACACAAAACATCAAGCACACCAACAAACTTGTCCTTCTTCGCATTTTTTAAATGAGCACTGAGGGATCGAACATTCAAGTGAGCCACCTTGAGTCCATCGCCATGACTGTTCTCTACAGGGTGTGTCCAGGTGAACAGTCTTTCATTCTACAATCTAGTCATCTCATCCAAAGCTTTTTTGTTTATTACAATTTTGGGTTCAGCAAAACCTACAAGTTATAGGCCTTTCCTTGATTTGACCCTACCGAGCATCATATACACTTGACCAGGCTAGGCTTTAAAATTACTTCCTTGTGTATTTGTCATGTTCCCAATCATCTGCTCACAGGTGCTCCCTTGAGACTTGTGGATTGTGAGGCCCCATGCTAAAGTTCCTGGATACTGTTTTCTTTCAACCATGACAGAATATTGTACGGTTTTCAAAATTTGCTCTGGAAATGAGGACTACTGCCATTTTCAGTCTAAGTCAAAGTCGCTGCCATGGAAACTCGAAAAATATTATATTTTTTTTAAATCCCAAACTACAAAAGACACCAGTTCACAACTAGACCTATCTTTGTGCCAAGGGTATGACCACCCTGTGCGTGAATCACAGCAGTGCATCGGCGACGCATGGAGTCCACCAAATGGGCATGGAAGGCCTGGGGAATGGCCTGCCATATCCTCCTCAAATCCTGTGCCAAGTCACGGACGTTATCTGGAGGATGTGGAAGACGACACAGACGGCGCTCCATTTCATCCCACACATGCTCTATTGGGGAGAGATCTGGAGAAATTGCAGGCCATGGCAGCAACATGACATTGTTATGGTGAAGAAAATCCATTGCGACCCTAGCCGTGTGAGGACGAGCGTTGTCCTGTTGAAATGTCAATCCCGGGCCATGACGTTGCAGGAAAGGAATGACCACAGGCCTCAGAATCTGATCTCTGTAGCCAACACCGGTGAGATTGCCCTGAACAACCACCAAAGGGGTTCGGTGCCGTGCTGTTATCCCACCCCAAATCATCACAGAGCCACCTCCAAAACGATTCCTCTCCACAATACAGTTGCGTGCATAACGTTCTCCCAAACGCCGGTAGACACGTTGGCGCCCGTCACTGTGGGAAATGTTGAACCTCGATTCATCTGTAAAGACAACATTTCTCCACCATATTCGAGGTTGGCGAACATGATTTCGACACCATCTTAGGCGGTTGACTCGATGACGGTGTGTCAGGATGGGACGTATGGCAGGGCGTCGTGGTCGAATCCCGTACTGACGTAAACGATTCCTGACAGTGTTGGGATGGATACG